TGATGGAGGCTGGAAGTTCTTTTTTTCCCAAGTCTTCAGAAATAGTGGATTTTGGGAAAGAAATCTACAAAATTCTCACCCTTGAGACCAATACCAAATTTGGATGTCAGATTGTTTGTCAAAGGAAAGTTACAGATGTGCAACAAGTGTGTTGCAATGTGCTGTGACTCCACTAGATGACAGCCAGTTCAGCAAATAACTGGGTTTTCTCATTGCATAGTCTAAGCATGCATGGTTAAAAATGCTGAACAAAACAGAGAAAAAGTGATTGCTAGGAAGAAGTTCTTTCTCCATCCATATGAAACCTCATGTGTTTAATGTTTTACTTATGTCATGTATATTTTTTTCCTATATTGATTCTGTTTCATTTTCATGCTTTTGTTTGGATCAGCTGTTGTAGCATGTAGCAGACTCCAACAGTGAAAGAATATTTATTTATTTATTTATTTACTTAGTTACTTGTTTCCCTCTTTCATTTTTGATTTGTTATTTGCAGGAAAAGAAAGCTATATCAAATTTATAAGTGAAGATATAATTAGAACTCCACTTTTGATAGCTGCATGATTTCTTAGTGAATTACAATCCTTATTTGCCTTTTACCAGATATTGGTGCTGTATGCTAAAGAATATTCAGTATTTCATGCAAAAGATCAAAAAAAACCTAGATCTCAAATAAGTTCTATAAAGTGATTTAAATTAGATTTTAAGCCAAAGCATTATCAGATGCACTTTTAGGCTAAGGTGAGAGAGAGATTTCAAGGAAAGAGGAATTAAACACAAAGTATTTACAGGAGAGGCTGTAGAAGGAATACATTTTTCTAACTTTTGTGTTTGGAATTCATCACAGAAAAATCACAAACTACTGCAGGTACCCCCAGGATATTAACTTAGTCTGCCTGGGCAGGATTAATTTTACCCATTTGCTAAAATTGTAATGAAGAAATAATGTGACTTCACTTGGGAAAATAGAGCCACCTTTATTTTTATTCTGTTTTTTTTTTTTTTAATGGTGCATTTCTGAACTGCTTCCTTGAATCTTCTTAGTTCTTAAGGTCTAGGGTTTAGTAGGTAGGCAAATTAGGTTTTGCTTGTTTCCTCCTCTGTACTTTAGCATTGCCAAGCACGAAATGATTTGGATTTCAGGGATTTTCTTGTTTGTCTTTACCAGAAATTTTCTGAGGAAAGTTCCTCATGGAAACCATGTGAAATGAGAAATGACAAACCTTATCATTCAAATTCTCCTTGTCTTAGGCATATCTAATTTGAACTCCAGCAGACAAAGTCTGTGTGTGGCTCAGGGTGGTTCTTTCCCAAATAGCAGAGACTTGAAACAGGGGAAAACAGCAGAACTCATGACAGAAATTGCTGAGCACTTTAGGTAGAAATTGTTAGCAGTTTATGTTGTGCTCTCATTTCCCCAAAGTGTTGAGGTTGTACAGTCTAATCAAACAATCCATTCTGATTCACATGCCTTTGATAATGTCCTACTGTGCATGAGGTAGTTTTAGATTCAAGTATTGTTTAATCTTGGTGTGGTTTTGTTCTTTAAAGACATATCTATTCATGCTGAAGCACGGGCTCCACCCAGTTAACAGAAGGGGGTTTTAACTTTAGGGAAAAAGCATTAAAAAAAATAATTAGGGGGTGGAAAGAGGATCACTGTGTGATAGAATAAATCTATGGTGCTCCTGTTATTAATATTATCTGTAGGTCTCATCCCTTCTCTTTGAGGAGGACATGGTAGAACTGAAAAAAGTTTTGGAGAAAGATAAGGACAGTGGAAGGCAGAGAAGGGCTTCCATGCCCTTCATGATTCAGCAGGTGGATTGTCTGCTTCAGCCTAGAAAAAGGATTGTCAAATGATGATTCAACATTAGGAATAAACCTAGTGGCATAGAAAAGTTGTGATTATTCAATGATTCATCCAGTAAAAAAACTAGGTCACATCAAGAGCCAGATTCAAAAGCAACAAGAAGATCTGGTTACTCATGTCTTGCTGAGGTAAAATGAAAATCTCCATTCCCCTGGATTTTACCAATACTGAAAGTTTTGAGTGAGTTCAAGGAGAAAGGGAGTGGGTTCATAGAAGCATCACCACACCATGACTGGTGGCTACTTCTCTCCCTCCCCAGGCATCCAGCTGTGGGCTGGAAGTGTGCAGCTAGCTGATTCACCCTCATACTTGACCTGCATCTCTGTATGCTCAGAATAAAGTTTTACTACTGTTTGCATCTGCCACTGAAAATAACAAATGCAGCTAAATGTCACCCACCTGAATTCTGCACTGATTTGTGCATGAACATTGCTGTTTGCTAGAGAGAGACAGAAGTAAAGATGCTGAAATCAGTTTGGGGAATCTGAGTTCAGACTTCTATTATTATTGCTGCCCTGAAGCTGTTTCACGAGACAATTCTCAGCCTGATTTGACCCAGGTTCCAAAACAACCTTGTAATTCTTGTCCTCTGCAATTCTGTGTCTTGGATCAAGGCTGTGATATCGTTTGCAGTTCTACAGTTTGAAAACATTCTTACTTGTTGGGCTATTCTGTGAAGTTAGATATCATGACAACTTGCAGTTCTATTTCAGTTAGACAGTTTATTTAGCAGATATTGCAAAGGCACAAATTTTCCACTTTGCTTTTAAGTTTATAGATCCAATTTTATATAAGCTGAATTATATATTTAGTAATGTAGTAGTTAAAGGAAGAATGCTAAACTTAATGTCTCATAAACCCATGTGTGTTTTGTTTATGTCTGCCCCCTCTTACAACCACGTGGAGACAAGGGCTTGTCACACTAGCTGAGGCTGTCTAATGGATTTCTCTGTCTCAGATTTCTATAGCTGTTTCTTAACATAAAACTATAAGCTTTTCAGATTCAGCAGATTTTTTTTGTTCTCTCCCTGCCCAGCAAACTGGAGTCTTGGTGAGGACTCTTTTGTACTACTGTACTGGGAGGAGGTATTTTTTTGACTGATGTCAGCTATATGTTTCACATACAAGTACTGATGAATATGCCTACAGCCATGAAACTCTCACATTTTGGCATTGTTCTACTAAGAGTTTCTGCCACAGTGCTTTTCCCTATGTCTAAATTCTAAGTTGAGAGGAAAAAATAAAGCAACAGTAGCCACAAACACAAAATGCATATGCTAAAATATTCAGCAGTTCTTTACATACAAAAAATCACTCGCTATTTTTAAATGTGTATACCTGTTTATGTACATTAACTCAGAGTTTATTTCTTGGCCTCTATGATGTTTACAGTTATTTCACAATGTTTTGACTCCTCCAGGAGGGATCATAAAATTGCTTTTTTTTCCCCATAAGCAAATACAGACACTGAAAGCTCTCTAAAAGTCAAAATGTTCCTGAAGGAATTCCAAACAGTACTGAAGAAAGTAATAAACTTGCCAGTTTAACCTGCACTACCTTTACAGACAAGTGACTTTTCAAAAGGTGAATACAAATGACACAACATTTTTGTATCCATTTTCTCACCACAATTATAAAAAGAAACTATATTTTTCTTAACTGTCAGCTTTCTGGCTGTAGAATGCCAAATTGCACTGTCTGTTTCATTGAAAAGATCTGGTATATGTTATAGAAATAGTCTCAACATTTCTTCTTAGTTTTATTACAGTTTTAATTTTGGTTGTCCTTGATCTATGGTGAGATGCTCTTTTTTAAAAAAGAGAAAGGTCTCCCATTTATTATGTGAAAGGCTAAATAATGTCAAGACTGCCTAATTTGAAGAGGATTCTGCATCTTTGGCAGCTGATATGGGTTTTATCATGATGTGGTCCCATAGCAGAATACAATGTGCTCTGCATAATAACTAATGTAGAAAGACCTTCTGGTGTCAGGTGAACATTTGCAAAAGTTGACGATCTTTCTCCCAAAATTTTGCACTAAAATTCTGTGATACTGATCTGTCCATCCCTGTCATCTGCAAACAACTTCAGTGAACTTGTGAAGGAATTCTTGAACTCCTCCATCTACACTCCAGCTCCGCTTTGAACTGTGCTTTGCTCTACAGATGCTCAATGCCTCCCCTATCTCACTAGGTCATGGCAAGATTTCTGTGTGCCTCACAAGTCCCTCTTCCCCTCTCTTCCCTCTCTAAGATGCTTATTGCCTCTGTTGGATCACCCCATGTCTCATATCTTTCTTCTGAGATGTTTTTGTCACCTTTCATGCTTCTTTGTGTAAAAGGTTAGTAATTTAAAAGTCTTTGCATATACAAAACATGCTGTTATGCCAGAAGATGGGTTTTTCGGATATTAATTCACATTTGATGTAATGATGAAGACCTACCTGATGGACATTGCTGTCTTATCAGGGTACCAGGAGCATTGTATCCCCTTGTATTCCACCTCCCATTTCCCTCACCCACCCTGGCATTTTCACACATCTGAAAGAGTTCTGATGATTGAAGCTTGGGAAGATAATTCTCAAGTGCTGGACCAAGAGTGTAAACACAAAGTGAAATTACATAAACTTTATGGCATTAAGTCCCATTTTGCTGAGAAGTAAGTACTGAATTCCTTATCTAACTGTTTCTAATGGAAGTATCTTAGAGATTTCTATTCCTATATGACAGATATTAATATGGGTTTTTATAATATAAATATAGCAAAATTATGTTTTCCAACAACCCTGCTTGTTCCAGCCTTCTTTTATTTCTTTGTCTGTGCATTTATTAAAAGAGTATGTTACCTAATGGAATAAGAGCTTTCTTCAGGATATTTTAAAAATACTCAAGAATATTATAGAGTGGTAGTGCAGCCTCTTGCATGAAGTCTTTCATGAAATTGTAACTATAGAGTTACCTAATTTGCCCACATTGTGACTTCTATGATTTGAATTTGGGTCTGACATGTTGATGTAGTGGTTTTTACACTACATCAACATCTTTCATTTTTTATCTTTCACAATCAGATATATCCCTGAATCTAATGAACTGTGTTGGTGTTTTTGTTACTTTCTAGAGCTTTAAACAATGAGTCAGGCTGATGAAGGAAGTGCCACTGACTCAGAGCTGGCAACTGAGAATGAGTCACCTGCCTCTGCACTGATTGCAGCAGATCCTAGCCAGGAGGAGGGACCCACTGACCTAACAGCAAGTCCTGCCTTTCAGTGTTTAGATGAGGTATCACATGCCCCAGATTTCTCTGTCTGTAACAGTACAAAGTAATTATTCTGAAGTGTATCTTTTGCTGTTAATAAGAGAAGGTTGTTGATAATCCACATAGACTATCTATATCATCCCCATTTATTTGATTTTTTTTCCTAAGTGGTAAGAAAATTTTGTGAAGCAATGTCGTATTCTTGCTGGGGATGCTGTGCTTGATAGAGAAACGTTATTTTTTACAGTGATCATGGCCTTAAGGGGAATGAGAATACAGAGGTCCTGGTTTTTGTCTTATAGTATTCTATCTGTAGAGGTAATTGTATCATGATTTTTTAAAAAGCTCTGTAGCTGCAGGAGAAATCGCAGGTAAGTGATTCCCGAGGCATTATTAATTGATTATGGTGATAGAAGAAACCTTTTGGAGCTCAGTTTCTTTTGCATTATTTTTGTGTTAAGGAGTCTTTCAAAATACTAGAAGTATTTTAAAATTTTAAATATCAAATATGTATCAAATGAAATTCTTAAAAATGTAAGGCCAGAAGAGTCATTAAGAGATAATCTAATCCAAATTTGCCACTGAAATAGATTCTCTGCAGATATTTGTCTAATTTGTTCTTAAATCTTTAATTGGTGGAGATAGCTCTTTGGATATCCTTTTCCAGCATGTTATCATAGCCAGGGTTTATAAAAAGTTTTTCCTATATCCCAGTTTAAGTTTCCTTTGTAGTGAATAATGAAGCTTCTTGTCTTTCCCACATTAAAAAGGGAGATCAGCCAATTTCTGCCCTCTTTATAATAAAAATGTACATCTCTCTCTTGTATCCTTATCAGGCTTTGTTCATACTTCATGTTTTTGTGGAAGTTCTTACCTAAAGTTGCTTTACCTTGGACTCTTCCCATCTTAGGTCTGTCAGATCAGTTTGCTTCCCTGGCTCTCACTCTCTGCCTGCGATCTAAGGTCAGGAGAAAGGACATGGCAAGAATTTGTAGTGAAGGGGAAAATAGGACTTGATCTTTCCTATCCTAGTATTAGATCATACTGAACATAGTTTGAAGCTGCTGCTTCAAGTGCCAGTGTATGGAAGCCCACAGCTTCCAGTATTGTTGCAGCACAAACCCCCTTTATTCTCAGTCCAAGGCAGCAGCAAAAGTGCCCCCATGCCCCTTCTAAACTGTATTCTGCATTTTTGCTTTGTTTTCCTTATTTTTAATCATGGTGAAAACTAATTTTTCTAGACTTAATCTAGAAAATTTGCCTGATTTTTTTTTCTCAAAAAAATCTTTCCAAAGAGGTTGTTTTGCATATCAATTTAAAGCTAACTTGTTTAACACTGATAACATTGTAAACCATTAATGGCAAATACAGGGAAAACTTAGTATTTAGGGTTGTTCCCAACTCAGGAAAAAACATGCTGTGGAAAACCAAAGTAAGAAATTAGCATAATATTTCATAAATGAGGTCTTCTGGTCATTTTGTCAATTTCTATAAGAGAACTATGAATCATTTATTTTATCATAATTTTTAACAGTTTGCACTTGTACTTTACTGGTGAGTTTGGCTTTTCATCACTTATTGACATTTCTTCTCTTCCACTGACGTATTTGGGTTTTTTTTGTTGAACTTTGTACGTAATTCAGGGATAAATATATGGCTTTGGTCACCACAGAGGTTTCTTGCATTGATGCTGGCTTCAACTAGTCGGAATAGCTTTCAGGATTTTTCCACAGAAGGAGAATTGTTTCATAGTATCTCAGTTTCACTGACTGGTCATTTGTGCCTGCACAGCATGTATTTATCAGAAGGGACACCTTTTGTTATTATAAGATTTCTTTAAAAACAGATATATGCCCTCTTCCCATCAAGCCAGTCTTGTTTTTCTCATGTAAGCAGCAGATACTCAAACATACAAAGAGCAAGAATTAAAACACTATCTCCCCTTTATTTTTAATAAAACATTAGTAGTAACATTGTTTAGCTTTGTGGGTTAGGTAGAAATATTAAAAACTTGACAGTTCAAACAAAAGCCACCCAATTCATCATGACTTCTTTTCACCAGGTGTTTTTATTTATTACCAAGCTGACATCTCCTGTTCTGTTGGTTAGGGTACTGCCATACATTTACAAAATTAACTTTCCATTTCTTTTAGCCCCTGATGTTATGTCCTTGAAATAAAGGTCTTTGCTCTAACACTTCTAATTGAATTTCTTGAATTGTGACTCCTTCCTCATATCTTGTTTTCTTCTAGTATTAGAAATAAATCAGTCTGCATCTGTTAATAATTTTCATTGAAAACTACATAGTCTAGTACCTGTGTGATGAAATAAATATATTACTTGAATAAATGCTACATTAAAATGCAATACATTGCTCATTTTATTTTGATTTTAGGGCATTATAGGCCATGTATGTATAATCTGATTCTTAAAAGGCAGCAAAAAATGTATCAAATTTTTTCATACCAGTACATTGTTTAAATTTAAACAGCCATTAATTTTATTAAATAGATATTTAGTAGTAGTTAGTTTCAACAAAATGATCTAAAATTGTATTCACCCTTTGCCTGCAAATTTATAATTTTTTTGCAACAGACTGTAATATAATACATTTAAACCCTCCCTTTATCCTTATATCATCCTTGCTACTACAATGCTGTTACTGCTAAAGCAGCAGAGGACAAACTGAAACTGTCATTTGAATAGAAAAAGCAACCAAACATGACATGAAAATGGACTGAATTCTCAAAAAGACAAGATTATGCAGAATGAAAATTAAAAAAGATCAGTTATCCAGTTGCCTTCTGCCCCTTCTCTTCATTTTGGACCCCATAATTTTTGTGCTTCACCATATTGCACAGTAACATTTTTTCCCCTCTGGCCACTCAAGTTGTGTTTTACTTTCCTTCACCTGATCCAGTTTTAATGGAAACATAAATAAATAAAACATCATTTGTCATAATGATGTTGATGATGTTTAGTTTGTGATCTGTTACCATTTTGAAATCCTCTTCTGTTGCTTAAGTTTTATTTTGTTGCCCAAATCACAATTCCAGACACAAAAAGGACACCTACTCTATACATCTTCCCAATCTGATAGGGAATCAAACAAAAACCTCCAAACAGAAATCAAATGGTGGGTATCTTCTCCCAGTTTGGGCTGTTTTTACTCAAGGTAATGTCTTGTGCTTTGTCTTTCTGTTTCTTTTTTTGGTATGTTCTTAGGCTAGAAAACTAGTTCAGTCAAATATATATGTCCATTTTAAAAACCATACGAGAAAAATGATTCTGTAACATTTATCTTGCATGCCTTTGCAGTGGCACTCAGAAGCAGCAGAAATAGTTCTGCAGAGTAGTGCACTTGTGAATGAAAAGTGCTTTGCTGTTCTCCAGATCCAGTGAGTGGCTACTTTGTTTGGAAGGTACCACAATAATCTCTTCCTGCCAATAGACATCATCTGTTTATTTGCTAAATCTAAAAAAGCAGAAGAATAAATTCCTTTGGGAGATTTTCCTGACTGGTCTATTGTAAACTGTTGCCCCTCTGTATCCTATATAATGATCAGTGTCCCCTATCTGATACCAGCATCAAATCTTTCATTTGTGCTACTTTTTTTGGTGGAAATTGTCACTATCGTGCTACATTTCTTCATCTCTGATGTCCAAGTGTCCTATTGCCACCAAGAAGCAGAAAGAACCTTTCATGAAGATTTTTCATTACTATTTTGAAGCTCAGTCTGAGATTAGTGAATTGAGTGCCAAAAGTGGTTGAACTGCTAATAAAGATGCTAACCAAAATCTCAGTTCTAGTGGAAACACAGAGCAAAATCTCAATGTTTACCAAGAAATCAACTGTATGACAATGAATTCTGAAGCAAATTTTGTTTCTGATTATCTGATGCTGATTCATGTCTGTCTGCTAGCTGTAAGAGCTTTAACATCAAAGAATGATGCATGTGTTTGAATGTTTTTTGTTTTTTGCATGTGTTTGAATGTTGTTTGAGGGGAGAAAAGTATTTCTCCTTTTTCTCCTTTTTCTCATCTGTGCTGCAGGAAAGAAGAGAAAGTCACATAAAGGTTGGCTACAACTTTCAAATATAAATACTAAGAATCAATATTTCATATAATTCTTCAGTGACATAGACACATCTAACAAGGCCCTTCTAGAAATTAGAGTTGTTTTAATTTCTTTTGGTAACAAACTGGTTTTTAATTCTCTTCTAACTTAGGTTAAATGGTAGGTGTAAAAAAGTTTCCTTAAAAAAAAAGTTTATTTATCTTTAAATGAAAAGTTTCCTAGAAAAGCTACCTTGGTAGATTAAGATAGAATTTTTTCTTTTTTTTTACATTATCACCATTTTAATTTCTGTCCCCATACACATTCTGTAATGTGCTTTCTGCTATTATAAAGTATGATCATTGCTATATTTTTGCATGGTAACTATAGCAGTGCATAATTTGTTTTAGTACTCACCACATACATATGTGCTCTATCAAAGATATAAAAATCTTGACACAGCTTAGTATGTTGAAAGCAAACAACATTTTTAAACTTAAGCTGATCCTGGCACACTCCACACGACAAGCTTCAAAGGCTCCTGGCCCAACAAAAAAGCGTATAAATATGTTGGCACAGACAGCAGAGACAGATGTTGTCTCCACCTCCATGCACAGGAATCTGACTGCTAATTAAATAAACCTTTTTGACTTTGTTGAAATGGTCACTTGGGAAGTCAGCTATGGCTGACAATGTTTCTGTAAGCTAGAGTATGGTTTTTTGCAACAGCTTCCAGCAAGTAGGAAATAGTTTGTTTTGTGAATGTTAAAGAAAATCGTTGTTGCAACGGGAAAGTTGATTGTTCCTAAAAAAAAAAGCTGTAGAGGAATTGGGTGAATTTACAGGTGCCTTCAAATAGCAGGAATGAGAACAGAGCTGGTGAAACATGCTCGTTCTACAGAGAGGTTCTTTTTACCACTTGCAGGTGACATTGTGAGGAAACAAGGCCAGGAAGTGATTGGGTGT